TATGCATGATGCGTATGTATCTGGGAAACATTTCCTGTTTCTCCTTTACTCTCTCACTACTACCATACTCACAATATTTCACTTTACTTCTGACAACAGATGTATAGGGTTTTCCCCTCATGCCAAACTGAGAGTCTTATAATTCAATTCAATTCTGACATTAATTCTGACATTGGAGTTAGAGTAGACCTACAGGTTAAGGGACTCACACCCACAAGACTATCCCCATCCTCTCACCCCCATCTCAGAAGCCAGTTGTAAGTCCAGATTGTCACCTGTGCTTCTGACTGACTGACTGTAAACTGAAGGTTTCTGTGATCTCCTCTTTGGGTTTGATCATTTGTTAGAATAGCTCACAGAATTCTAAGAAACACTTTGTTTACTGGTCTATTATATAATGAAAGATATGATGAAGGATCCAAATAAACAACCAAATGAAAAGATACATAAGATAAGGTACAGAGAGGTCCCTAGCTTGGGAACTTCTGTTCCTGTGAAGTTGCGGTACACCACTCTCCCAGCACGTGGATGTGTTCCCCAACTCTGAAGCTCTTCAAACCCTATACCTTGGGGATTTTTATGGAAGTTTTATTATATGGGCATGATCAACCATTAATTTAATCTCCAGCTCCTCCTCCTTTCCTGAAGGATGGGGAGTGGGGATGAAAGTCCCAAGCTTCTAATCTGGCTTGGTCCTTCTGGTGATCAGCCCCCATCCTGAAGCTATCCAGGAGTTCACCAAGAGTCACCTCACAAAAACAAGAGATATTCCTATTACCCAGGAAGTTCCAAGGGATTTAGGAGCTCTGTGCTACAAACCAGGGACAGAGGATCCTGGAAGTGCAGGAAATCCAGAAAGTCCAGGGCTGGTATAGTAACTTCACAAAATTGCCAGACCTTTCAGCAACCCACCTACCATCCCTAGGATCCAGCTGTCCCACCTGCATTCCAAGCTGTAAGAGGGAGAAAGAGACAGAGAAGTAGAGCAAAGGGCATGAATACAAGAGCTGTACTTCACTGTAGCTTCTGAAAACCTACCACACAACCTTCTGCATGCATCACATTAGCCAGAACTTAGTCCAAAGCCACACCTAGAGAGTCTGAGAAATGTCTTCTTTTCTCATGGTAGCCAGCTAAAAATCATTTATTCTCATATCAGTGTCTTAAGAATAGACCTTGGGATGGATGCCCAACAGTCACCTCCACACTCAGATATTATTTAAACTGTTCTAGTAAATGGATAAAAGGGAAAAGCCTACAAACTCATTGATATAAAACCTTAACAAAGGTAACTGTCCCGACCCAACTCCCCACCACACACAGCCACTAAAGAAAATTTAATCTATTCTAATTGATGACTGTCTTGGTCAGCTTGGGCTGCTATAACTGAATACTATAAACTGGGTGACTTGAACAACAGAAATGTATTTCTCACAGTTCTGGGGGTTGGGAAGTCCAAGGTCAAGGAGCTGGCTGATTTGGCTCCTGGTAAGAACCCTCTTCCTGGTTTGCACTGGATAAACCAGAGTCACTCTCAAGGTTTGGTATCTGGAAGGAGATAACATATGAAGGGAAATGCCATCCCAAAGTGGACCTTCCACGTGATCGCCAGTGCAGTCCTGGTCCTGCACACCATAAAGACTGGCCGGTCAGGGATTCCTTTTGTGAGTTGCCTGGTGTACCTTTCCAATCAGTTTCTTGTTCTTACAGTCTTTGTTTCTTTGCTGGAGGAAACTAGAGTTGCCGTTCTATGTGGGAGACCGTACATTATGATCTAAATTAGACTATCAACTTTCAAAGAATTAGATTCCAACAAATTAAAATAAACCCTTAAGTATGTTGAAATATCTGATGATGCAGAACGTTTACATAATCCTTAGAAATTCATAGGAAATAGTAAACATGTAGCATCACAAGGTTACCCATTTCAAAAAGTAGAAACTGCACAGCATGGTGACTATAGTTAATAATACTATATTGCTCATTTGAAAGTTGCTAAGAAAGATCTTAAAAGTCCTCATTACAAGAAAAAAATTAATCATGTATGGTGACAAATGTCAACTAGATTTATCGTGGTGATCATTTTGCAATATATACAAATATCAAATCATTATGTTTTACACCTGAAACTAATATGTTATGTATCAACTATACCACAATAAAAAAAAATTAGAAACAAAAAAACCCCCTAAAAACCCCATCAAAAACCTGATGATGCAGAATGCCCTATAGGGCTCCTATGTTCAGAGAAACAAATTTAAATTTATTAGTTATTAGTGTTTTCTATTAATAGTTATACGATTGGGTGTATACTGTGGTCTCTTGAGCTTCTCCTTGTCCACCTTGATGAGGCAGTACATGAACTTGGGCAGCTTAGCTCTACTTTGTTAAAATTCTGAGCAAGATTTATCAGAGAGCTACACGGAGTGTGTGGCACGGTCTCCCACACCCACCCAGCCCAGTGTCTCACATAACCAGTCTGGAAAACCCTCTGACAGCGGGCAGAGTCTCCGGGCAGCATGTGGCACTTATTTAGCCAGAGAACAAAAGAAGATGGGCCCCCTGGCGTCCCTTCCTCATACCTTTTTAACATCCCCCTCCCTTATTATTTGCATGATGTGTCAGGTATGTGTAGTGTATGTGTTGCTGTGACAGAGGACCAGAGACACAGGGCAGAGCAGAAATGAGAGACAGGTTGGCAATTGAGGGAGGCGGGGAAACAGACAGAGCAACTGACACAGAAGGAGTTTGTTCTCAGGTAAAGTCCACCATGGTCTAGAAGGCAGATTCTGGCCCCAGATCTTGCTGGGCTAGATGAATAATCTGTGCTTCTCACCTTCCATATACAGTGGCCTTCTCTTTGGTCTGAGACAATGCCAAGGTCATTTTGGCCCAAGAACCTTGGGGCATACTGTGTCTAGGGTCAGAATTGTCTTTTTCATGTCTGATTTTTCTGAAGCTGGGTGAGCTCATTCTGATCACATTAACATCCCAGGAGGGAAACTTCAACCAAAGAAGGATTGGTGTGGATGGATAAAGTCTCCAACCAAATGAGCTTTAGAGGAACAACTCTGAGACCCCGTCTACACAGTGCCTCAGAGGACATGCAGTGACATGGAAGCAAGTGCTCATAGTGGGAACCAGGGCAGAAATGCACTTGTCACTGCCTCTTCCACCTTCCCTGTCACGGCCTCCCTGTTCCAGCACCCTGCATTCGGAGGGTCACATCCTAGTAACCACCATCACCCACATGCAGGTCTCAACTTTTCAGAGACAGCAACCACTACCACCTCCCCCTCTCTTGTCCTCTTTCTATATGTAAATATGGAAATAGCTAAGGTACTAATGATTAAACTAATAGATATCTATTGGGGAATACTGAAAATATACTAAATTATACTCTCAGTTCAAAAGAATATTTACTGTGATGGTAAATCTTCCCCATGTATATGTTTGATCTTGCTTTTTTCAGTGTGAGGTTCCCCCCATGGCATTAAAAGCTATGTTAATATGTAGTTTTAAATGACTACAGCAATTTCATAATCACACGTACATTCAGGTTGTTTCCTGCAGTTATAACTCATGTCCAAATGAACATTATGGTACACAAGTAGGTCTTAATTTCTCTTATTTTCCTCAGGGTGGGTTTTTGAAAGAAAATTCCTGAGTCACAGCATGTGAACATTTATTTAAAATATTATTGGCATATTCTCTCTCTCCTCCCCTTTCCTCCACTTCCTCTGCCTACCTTTTCTGTTTCCATAACTCTCACTGCCATCAGTCAACCCTTCCAGGAGCTGGGAACCTCAGGGGGACTTGGATAATGTGGAAAATTGTGGGCTGGGGAGTCAGAGGGGAGACTGAGATAGGAATGGAGGATGCTAAGCTTTGCAGGTGAAAACATCACTAGAGCCTAGACCACTTCATTAATCCCCACTTCTGTTTCCTTATGTAGGAAAGGGAGGGATATAAAAATGATTTAGAAAAAAGGAGGAGGGAGGGGAGAGGACAAGGAGTTGGGTGCACCTGGGATTTTGCTGCAGAAGCAAGGGTTGCTTCCCCTGAAGGACAGGCAGAGCTGTCACTATCCTAGAAGACTAATTCATGGCTGTTCACCAAGCACGTGTAGGTTTTGGTGAGTAGCAAAGCACCCCAAAACTTAGTTGCTTAAAGCTGCTACCATTTACTCGCTTACAGTTCCATAGGTCAGCTGGTGGTTCTCGTAGTCAGGGCTGAACTCTGCTGTGCCTCCTTATCTGTCTCTATCTACTGGAGAGTTGGTTGGTGCTGGGTGATATGGGACAGCCTCACTGACAAGCCTGACAGTTGGCAGGCTGTTGCCTGGGGTGCCTTGTCCTCCAGCAGACAAGCTCAGCCTCTTTCACAACGTGGGCATTTCAGGGTTGTGGGAGAACCAAGAGGGGGATAACTTGCAGTTTGCCAGGCTCTTTTCAAGCATCTGCTCCGGTCACATTTGTTAAATCACCTGGCCAAGCCCAGATTCAAGGAGTAGAGAAATAAACTTCACCTCTTGATGGGAGGAGATAAAGTCACATTACAAAAGAGGGTACAAGCAGAAATGGGATGAGTTGATTTTAGGACAACTTGTGAAATAGGTTCTAAGAAACTTGCTGCTTAAGTTCCCTGCATCTAAATTAAGGAGGGACAGAGATGCAGAGACATTCTGCGTCCCTAGCCCTCCGCAGATTCAGTACCAGTTTCTCCCCAGAGACAAGGTCTATTAGAGCTCTCAACGCCATAAGTAATTCCACTCTCTTTGCCAATACAAACAGCCTCAGTGCCTGGCATTCACCTTTTCCTCACATGCTTCTCTCTCTCTCAGCCTTGCCCCTCAGGTCCACACACATCAGCAGCCTGAAATGGAGTCTGACAGTTGGAATTAGAAATGCAGAAAGTTCAGCATACAGGCTCTTCACCCCTCGCTCTCCCCCACCCCAAAAAAGTCCCATCTTTACCAGGAATAAGGAAGACAACATGATTGGTCAAGAAGAAGGTGTTTATTAGCATGTTAATGAGCATGTGGCTGAGAGACTATGCTGAACTACTTGAACTTATCTTGAATTTCTCTGGGCAAGTAAAACTGATCTAATCTGTCATATTCTAGGAATTGGGTGTCTCCTCATCACTCCAGTCCACAGGCAGGGCTTCCAGTCTTCAGAGCTCCTTCTCCTTTCCACGTCTTATATCCCAGCCATCCATTCCCCTGTGCCTCTTTTCTCCAAGACCTAGTTCGTGAGACACTCTGAATCCATTAAAGATATTAGGTAAGGTTTACAACTAAAAATTTCCACCTTTCTATGGTCCAGCCAGATCTAGGTCCAATTTCTGATTTTACTTACAAGTGGACAAGTAACACCACCCCACTGGGCCTCTGTTTCCTCAGGTGTAATATTGGGGCAATAATCCCAGGTTGTAGTGAAAAGTGCTCAGGCACAAAGCACGCAGTATATAACACAATAAACAGGCGTTAATTTATACAATGATTGCAAAGCACTTTCATACTTACGACCTGCTAAAGAGAAATTCTGGGCCACCATCACTTAATCTTTGTGGAATCCTGGCTAATTCAATTTTTTTCACTGGACCTTCCACGATCCCAGAAACATATTAACTCAGTTTTAGAGACTGACCAAAAAAAACTTCACTACTCTGTAGGACTCAGCCCTGATCAGTGGTTCTCAATCCTTGAGGCACACTGGTACCTAGAAAACCTTTAAATAACTTACTGAAGCCTGCTCCCGACAAATTAAAAAGGGATGTGGATGTGAGGGAGGGGAGCGTGGGCAGAGGACTGACGTTCTGCGATTCTGTAGGTGACACTGAAGAGTCTTCTCTGGGGGTGTTGCCAGGTGTCACTTCTTTGGCCTTAAGCAGGTCCATCAGCGCACCCCAGATGAGTCACGAGATGACTTCAGCGACGTCCCCTCTCCCCCCACGGAGCTTCTACTCTCCTGCTCACTTCTCTCCTGGTGTGGATCCTGGGGGCATTCAACATCCCACCCCAACTAGAGTCTCTCGCCTTGGGCCACCTGCGGCTGGCAGCTAGAGCAGGGAGGGCGGCAGGACCCTTGGGGATGCCCGGCAGCGATCTCCTTTGCACATCACTGGGACCCGCAACGGGAGGGTGGAGTCCAGACTTCAGCGCGATCTGCGAACGGAGGGGGGGGTGGAATCTGCTCTAGGAGGGTGAGGGGGTATTTAAGTTATATACCCTTTCCCTGCCATTGTCAGTGACATATTTCAAGAAACAGGATAGAGTTCTGAAAGGACACGGCCATGAGCTTATTTCTTAAAAAGATGTTTTCCGTGTTTTGTTTGTCCGCTAAGAACGACCCATCTCCCCTCATCTGTGAATCTTACACCCGAAATTTGGTTGGTTGTGAGACGCGCGCGCAGACAGCAGCAAGGACGCAAAGGCAGAGAAGAGGATGGGGAAACTGCCCGGGTCCCAACCACAGTCCGGACTCCACAACAGCCCAAAGGCCGGGGACCTCGCGAGGCCAGATTCCAGCGTCAGCAGCGTAACCGACGCGACTCAGAAGGTCGTGACCCCCAACACCGCAGGAGCCCCGCCCGCAAAGCTGGCCCCGCCCCCGGCACCACCGCCCCCTACTGTCTCTAGAGGCCCCGAGCACACCCCCACGCGCAGCTTGTTCTTTGGCATCTCTGATTGGCCAGCTCTCCTTGTGCGGACCCAGTATCCTTTCCCCTGATAGGTCAGTCC